TTTAGGTTTTTGGGGCCTTAATCCACTGCTCTTTCAACTGGCTCTAACTGTTGGCTTTTCAGACAGTATCAAGGACAAGTGTGTGTGTGCGTGTGTGTGTGTGTGGGTGTGTGGGTGTGTGGGTGTGTGTGTGGGTGTGTATGAGGATGGGGCTGAGGAGGAAGCAGGAGGTGGTATGTGAAGGAAACATTTCCTATGTATAGTCAGTTCCATGAGCTGGTTTTGTTTTATTTTTCCTTTGCTGGCTGGATATCTATGTCAGATTTTTACTCCTTAATGAAGAGAACGACAAGACTGCCTTGCCCTTAAGCCACATGTGATTCCAGACCTTAGCATCTTCTATGTTTGACTTCCAACACCTCAAGGAAACACATTTGTCAGGCTATTAACTCCTGGTTCACCTCTCCCATGATGGACTTAATGGACAAGGCCTACCTCTCTCTGGATTATGCATCTAAGGATATTTAGTAGGGCTTTAGAGCAACCTTCCAATCTACCCAGTTTTCCCCTCCCCTTCCTCTTGTCATGTCTAAAAAGACTTGATTTGATGGTTTCAAAATAACAGATGTTAGTAACTTCTATTAGATGGTTACTATCCACATTTAATAATATCATGTGTCACTAAATGAGTCAGACTAACTTTACTGGATTATAATAGTCACCTGCTCATGGACATCAGACCTATATAGTTTCTATTCACAATCTAAACAACAGACAAAAAAGAAACAAACAAAACTAAGCAAGATTATTGACCTTGACTTATCAGTTTGGTCCAATTTAACGTCTATTTTCCAAATGGTCTTGCTGTTTTCTGTAACACTTGATGTGACAAGTCGTTCTACATTACAATTTAATTCTGGAAGTTTCCTCACTGGTAAGAGAAAATCACCAAGGAAACTGGGTGTAAAAATGACTTAGTAAATGTTAACCTCTATAACACCACACAAGCTTAGCAGCAAACCTCCCAGACAAACAAAACAAAGGAAATGATCATTCAAATGGATCACGTGAACCGTGGTCCCAAAGAGATCCAGGCCAGTCTCCTTTCTCTCCTGGGCATTCTGTTTTAAAAAAAGTCACTATTTTTCAATTCCTCCATTTTAAAATTAGGTATTGTCTATCTATATGGTTTCACAATTAGACTATGTCTAATAAGATTGATGTGTGTAAAGAAAAGTTTATTTGATAGCCAAGAGCATTTTCTTATTTTTTTGGTATTACACATTCAATTCAACAAACATTTATTCACTACCTACTTCTTACAAAGCATTGTAAGACATGGTCCCGGACTTTAGTGAATTGTGAATGGCATTTTTATGTCTGGACAAGAGCTCTACTTAGAATCCCTCTTTTCTGCCCTCCCTCAACTCTGGCCAGTTTAAGAGCTTGGATCCAGAGTCAGAAAAACTGGGTTGGCCTAACTTCCCACCCTCCACTTCCTGCCTGTGTTCATGTGGATGGGTCATTCAAGCCTTTTGGTCCTCCTGTTCTTCACCTGTAACACGAGGAAGCTGAACTAAATGATCTCCATGTTCCTTTCCAGCTAGAAATCCAGCATTCCTCTAAACTGCAGGCATATAGATTGTAATACAAAATCTATGTCTGTATTGGCTTGGCTCTGAATTCTCTTACTAAAGCTTTACTCCGATGCCTCCTCATAGTAACGGGATATTCTCATTTTTCCAAAGATTGTCTAGTGGGATTCAAGTATTTTATTTTTTTTTGTATGTGAGGCATGAACCCCTTTGGGTTTTGGTAAAGCCCAACGACCTTTTGTATGACCTTTGACTACCCTACTTTGGGGTACCTTATGATATGATCATAATGGTCCAGCCCCTTCACTATGGGTATCCTTCCCAACCACCTTAGGGTCATCTCATTAGCATATTAGGGTACAAACCTTATGCCCCCTTATCATTAACCAATAGTACCCTGCCATTCCTGCCTCGGGTGGGACTGATTTGGTATCAGGCCCTGGCCATTCCTAACTCCTTTGACTCTAGTTCAGGGGAAGAGGGAACAGCTTTGATTCTGTTTTAGCTCTCATACAAATTTCCCCATATGGTCAAACATCTAGAGTCACTCTCTACCTGAGGACCGCCCATCCCAACTTGTCCCTTCCCCAGCCTGAGCATTTCTGCTAATGAGTATGTGACTCATAGGAATTACCCTAGATATAGCCAACTTCTGGCACTTTGGCAGGACACTATAGCTTATAAACCATGGATAAGGAATCTGAAAGTCCCAGCTGCTGCACCTACCACCCAGCATTCTTCTTAGTATACTTGAAAAGAAAGTGTTGGGAGTATGAAACTTATGTCCTAATGAGAAGGGACTTCTCATTTTTTTCTAATCATCTGGACTGAGACTAGGGGCCTTGTCCTGAATTTCATGTCCTTAGATTCTCCTCTGACTGACCTCATAAGCAGAGCCAGTAGGGATGGGACATTTGCCTTCCCAGAATAATGTTTTTTAATGCATAAAATAAAATATATGGAATTAAAAAGGAAGTCAATTATATTGAAATATAGTTATCAAAATATTTTTAAACAATAAGTTTATAGCCCCACCCAGGTTAAAAACCCCTTTTCAATATAATATTTTAAATGAATAAAGTAAAATACATATAATTAAAAAAGAAACTAACTATATGGCAATATTAAATATTAAAAAAAATACATTCATGGACCCTCAGGGCAAGAACTCTGGCTAACAGGTCTCACCAACCTGGAAAATCTTCTAGTGTGTATCTGGTGACAGACAGCACAGCTGTTGATTTAGACCTACCTCTCTGGGTGTGAAGAAACTAACTGCCAGAAAATTGTCCAGTAGGAGTTAGTGGGCAGTGCGGTGCAGGGGTAGAAGGTCTGAGTTTGACTCTCCCCATCAACAGTTACTAGCTTGTGAGGTTGGGCCGGTCATTTAACATCTCTGAGCTTCCGTTTCCTCATCTGTATAATGAAAAGTTTAGACTCAATGACATTCAAGGTCCATTCTAGCTCTAAATCCATGACTCAGTGAGTTGAATTTTTAAGCCATAATAACTCATGAAAGGTACAGAAGTTGTGATCTATATTGGTAAGAACATGTATGTATCAAGTGGAACTCCCGACTTCATCAGAGCGCTGAAATCCTTGAAATGACCTTGTTGCTGCTCTGCCAATATCATTGCTAATTACATTTATTAGAGACAAATAAGACCTGTGAGTCTACAGAAGCTTTGGACACAACTCTTAGATCCAGTGGGACTAGTTCTTTACCTCTCATATATATGAAATAACTGAAGTAGGAAATGAAAACTCCTCTGCTCTTCAAACTATGGCTTCAACTTACCATTCTGATGTTATTTTAAATTACTCATTTTCCCTTACCTTTTGATCTTCCCCAACCTCCCATCCACCCCCCCAAAAAATCCTGTCTCTTTTTACTGTTTCCTGAACAATGCTGGTTTTTTTGTTTTGTTTTGTTTTGTTTTGTTTTTTCCGTCTGCATACTTTGGTTTGCTATTTCCTCAACTAGAATCCAACCTCCTCCTTGCCAGCCCATTCCCTATAGGGAGTTCTACATCTCTTCTGCATTCCAATAGCTTTTCAGCCCCATACCATTGATTTGGCAATCAGCCACATACTGATATCTGATACATTAGGCCAAAACAAGAGGCAACCTCTAATATGAGGTTGGTCTATGTTTTTTTTTTTTTAAGACATCTCATATTGTTGTCTTGAACCATTTTCACTGTTTTCTCTCTTCTATTATTTAAGTATTCACATGTTTATGCATCGATCACATTCTAAATTCTTTTTTTTTTTTTCTAAATTCTTTAAAGTCAGAGAACAGGTCTTCTGATGTCTCTTTGTATTACCCACAGAATCTTGGATATAGTAGGTATCTATTCTGAGTTGAGCCTGATTCAGGCCAGTCCCCCAGTATTTTAGGTTAAATATTAGAACAAAATGAGACACTTGTAAATCATTCACTATTCATCAAAAGGAGATTTACTTAGCCATAGCATGAGAAAGATATTCGGTAAGGATAGGCTTTGTGGACACCTTGAGCGGATTCAGTTGAGAGAAGCTCATTTGCCTCCATCATGATCCTCCAAGCCATGCCTCTGAGTGCATCTGAAAGTTCTTTTGGCTGCTTTGAGGACACATGATTGGGAAGTGATGTTAATAGGCTGAACCTTTAGTCTCTTGAGCCAACCAAGTCTCATGGAATATCTAAATACCTTTTAAGGAAAAAAAGTTAACTTAACTTGTAAGGAGGGAGGGGTTAGGGTATCATTCCTACCACAGTATCCAATAAATTCATGTTTATTGACTAATTAATCTCAGGGACTGGTACTTCTGAGTACCTTGCCATTTGGGGAGACAGAGAAGAGAGCAAAGTAATCACATATTCCCGGGAAAGGCTTAAGAATGGCCTTTCTCCTCTCAGCTTTGAAAATTATGTGCCCTGTGTGTGACTATCCATTAGAGGCTTGGAGCTTTCTTTGTAACCTGTTTAATTAGACAGATTACAAAATAAATGTTTACCTTCTCTGGGAAACAATATTTTTCTGATATTATTCATGTGTCTAAAACAAAACAAAACAAAAACCAACCTCATATTAGAGGTTGCCTCTTGTTTTGGCCTAATGCGTATAATATCCTAGCAGATGGTAGCCTTCCTTATCTACCATTCACCGGAATCTGCTACAGTCAATCAGCCTGTACACAGGTACTCCCTCATGCCTGATTCTGCTACAGGGTTATAGGCTGAGCCATGAAATTATTCAAATGTGAAGCTTTCTTTACAAAACCCTAAACAAAGAAGCCCCTCATTAGAAACCCTATCTTCTTTATGTGAGCTTGTTGAACTATAAGAAATACTTTGGAAACTGAGAATCCCTGGGTCAAATTGACCACATTCTTTGCATGTAAAAAGTAGAGTGAGGAAAAACTGAAATGTTGTGAAAAATCTGTACATTAAAATATTTCTTTTATTTTTTTTCTTTACAGCTTGGGGCAAATGCTCTACTTTTTGTCAGTGTAAATTTGTATGGGGTCTTTGTGAGGATTTTGACAGAAAGGGCTCAGAGGAAGGCTTTCCTACAGGCCAGGAACTGCATAGAGGACAGGCTGAGGCTGGAAGATGAAAATGAAAAACAGGTCAGTTTCCAATCACTCTTGGTTTCTCATCTTTTTCTTTGGCCTTAGTAATACTGAATGTATGCGTTGAGTGTTCAAGTAAAAGTAACATATCTTCAATTTTAACATGCTTCAGTTTAACTCAATCTCATGGCTTCATGAGATTCACTTATATCCTATTCTGGAAGAGAATGAATTAAATGATGTAATTAGTTTATTCTATATTTTTCTAACACATACAATGGCTAAAGGGTATATATTTATTTTGGGTTTATTAATTTATTTATTGAGGTGTAGATGTGTAATTTTGTGGTAGGAACTCCCAGTGTAGAAATGCTCTCTACCAATATAGATTGGCAACTCCCCTGCAACTTATAGTCTTATAGTTATCTAGGGCATAGAAAAATTAAGTGACTTACCATGGATCAGAGATGGAACTTGAACCCTAGTCTTCCTAATGCCCTTGCTGGCCCTCTATCTACTATGCCATATTATCTATTTTGTGCTCATAACTCTGGTTAGAACATATTAGCTATCAAGTTCAAAATACAATAGAACTTCATAGGAATTTAAAGAATTCAAAATAAGACCTACAGCTCAAGTAGTATATGGTTCCATCTTTATTCTAATAGAAATGGGTTATCTTTAATATATATGTATATATATTTTCTAGGGAAGAGGTAACATTTGGAAGATTCTCAACATTATGACACTTCAGTACATTTACATCATACCTTGGGTAGGAAAGAGAGGAGGGAATCAAGGTGCCAAATATTCTCATACTAGGTGAATTTGAATAAGGATAAGGCAGCCCCATTTGTCACTATAAAGGCACATAGGAATCCAAAGGCAAGTCTGATTAGGAGAATCACTTCTAAATAAAATTTATTGTTTCCAAAGGTTTGGTTAGACTCCAGCTGGCCATTTCCTATTTGAAGAAATATATGGCTAGTTTTGAGGAAAGCTTCCTAGACAATTTTAAAAAAACAAGTGATTATTGCTCATTTTCCTGGGAAGAGAATAGGCAGCTATGTGGCTCGGTAGTTAGAGCACTGGGCCTGGAGTCAGGAAGACCTGAGTTCAAATCTTGCCTCAGACACTTACTAGCTCTGTGGTCCTGGGCAAGTCACTTAACCCTGTTTGCCTCAGTTTCCTCATCTGTAAAATGAGCTGGAGAAGGAAATTCTTGCTGTTCAGTCATGTACAATTCTTTGCTAAGAAAACCCCAAATGGGGTTACAAAGAATTGTACGTTACTGAACAGCAAGAATAGGCAGAAACTATTTCTAAATAATGATGATTGGATATGTTTAACTATAAAGAAAAAGGGCCATAAAGCCTGCTCACATGTGAAAGTATAAATGATGTTTATTTTAATGATGATATTTTAAGGCTTTGATTTAGTAGTGCACTTCTAAATAATAAATTAAAAGTCTTGACCCAAATTCTCATTCAGTGCTTATTTATATTTCATTGTTTTCATTTCACTAATCTCCTCCAGACTCCAACAGTGATATGTGTTTTGTTAGGTTGGGAGGAAAATGGAATGTGAAATATTATAATATATTCTGTATTTTTGTGTTACATTTAACTTGAGAAAAATTCCAGGGTAAAAAAAAAAAGAGCACTGTGTGCTTATTACTTTATACTTTACTATTCCAAAAATTTAAGGCTGTATAGAATATTAGTAGTTTACTTGTTTCTTTCTCTTGTTCTTTCTTTTCCTCTCTTTCTGTTACCCTCTCTCATTTTTTCCCACCATCACCCTTTGTCTCTCTCTTTTTTGGTCTTCCTTCCCACTTGTCATCTTGGCTCTATATAAGTCATGCTTAGTCTTTTTTGCTAGTGCCAAGGCCCAGAATATTTGACAGAGCCTTTGCTAAGGGGGCAGCTAGGTGGCACAGTGAGTAGAGCACCAGCCCTGGAGTCAGGACCTGAGTTCAAATATGGCCTCAGACACTTGACACTTAATTAGCTGTGTAGCCCTGGGCAAGTCATTTAACCCCATTTTCTAGCAAAAAAAAAAACCAAAAACAGAAATGAAAACAAAAAACAAACAAACAAACAGAGCCCTTGCCAAGTTGTTAATTCCATATCATAAGTATTTGCTGAGAAAATGACAAACTACTATTTTTTGAGGTCTCAGAAAATAGTTCATGAATTCACTTTTAATTTACAAAAGCTGAATAGGAAGAAAATAATTTGGGAAAATTATTTTTGTGCCTGTGGCGATTCAATTGCTGGCGGTAGAATGGGGGGATTTTGAGCAAGTGCTGAACAGAGGAGCAAGATTGAGTGGCCTATGTAGGAGAAACTGAACTGATATATAAAGATGGGGACAGAAGGCATTATTCTTGCAAACTCATTGTTAGGCTCATTTGTTCTTAAGTTGGAAAAGAAATACGAGTACTTTGAACACTTTCTAAATGTTACTACCCTTCTACAAAATTCTATTTCCCCTACCTTAGTTATGCCCCTGCTACAGAATGTCTCCCTTCCTTTGCATTTCTCCCATTTGTTTTTTAATCTTTTATATCCTATGATTGTTGATCTCATTGATTGATTGTCCCTTGGTTACACTAAGATGATCATTTATAGTGGTGTAGAAGTTAATTGGGATGAAATAAAATAACTAAATGTATTAATTTGCAATAAATGTTACATCCTTTTACATCTTAAAACAAAACCTTTTTATCTGCAATATGTCTTTCTTTTCTATAATCTCGTTTTGCATGATTTAGCATGGAGTTTATAAGATTTTGACAAATATTATTTATTTTTTCTGTAGCACATACTTTAAGGTGGCTATTCCAACTCCCACTCATGTGATGAATTGGGTCCCCTGAACATGACTATTCTACTCCTTCAAACCTTTAAAGGTAGTCCCGAGGGGTTTGAGTTTGGCTTGTCTTATGCAATCTAGTTTATGAGCCCCACCTGATATGCTTCCCATTGTGAATAGGGGTTAATTACCAATTAGCCTTTAGGAAAGTATATTCTAAAATTGTAAAATTATTGTATCACCTTTTAAAATATACCCTTCTGAAAGCTAATTGATAATCAACCACTAATCACAATGGGAAGCATGCCAGTGAGGGCTCACAAATTAAATAGTATTACAGTAAGATAAACTGGTACAAAACATCCTCCTCCCACCAAAAAAAAAAAAAATAATAAAGAATGTGAGACACTCTCCCACAAGAACATGCAAAGTCTAGGGGAAAGTGGTCCCTTTAAGAGGCCTAAATTTTACACTGTTTCCTTGGAGTAATATCCATTCTTAAAAAACACAGACTTGAAAACACAAAAGAGAACAATGAAATAAATATGAACAAATGCATGACCATCAATAGCACAAAATGTAATCTTATCAAAATGATTGCTTGCCCCAAGAAATTCAACAACAGTGTATTTCCTAAATATCAACCTAAAGTCATACAGCAAAATTATATGAAGTTTCCTCTCCTTGTTTTGGGTGTTTGTATCTCTAGTTTCCTTCCCATGGTTGATCTCTTATATCCTGTAGGATGGTAGCACATCTTCACAGTCTGAAAAAAATATCTTCTTCTCATTAGGTTAGGAAGCTAGAAAAAAGGTATGTCAAAACTCTGCTCACATCCTGTAGTTATTATTTTAGCCATATTTAGTTATTTACTTTAGGTATATTTTATATATTTACTATTTTATATATCAAATTCCATTGATGTTTATCTGTTTTTGTCAGCTAAAAAAAAAATTAATGTTTGTTCTTCATGCCATTGATGGGGAAGGGAAGTGAGATCTCTGCAGTTATGGTGTGTTTGACTCTTTCGCTGCTCATTTCCTGACTCAGCCAAAGTAACTGGCAATAGGACATTTGAAGGCACCTCATTATGTGTCTCTCTGGTTCTGTTTGTCAGTTTGTTTTTAGATTGGATTACTGCACAGAAAAAACAAAGAACATCCCTCTGTTAGTTGGCTTGTATTTGAAGAGTTTGTTTTCTTTGCCTTTCTGTAGGAATGAATATTAGGCCCAAAGATCCTGCAAGCAGAGGTGCTTGTGAAGCATGAAAAATTCATGGCCACAGTGCATTGGGGACTTTTTTTCCCCCGCTCTGTCTGTGTTTCTCTGCTAGTTTTTGTTTACTTTGCCTTTTTTCTCTTAAAGACTCACAACAGGAGGACAAGAATAAATGGGCATTATGTTATTACTAATTATATTATGTCTACTCCCCAATTAAGCACATTAGCTTGATATAATATTATCAGAGGCTTCTAAAGTTGCATCGCCCACATAATTTACCTCAAATTAAATCCTACCCATGCAACCACTGCATTTAAAGCATGGGAGTGAGGGTGATAGTGGTTGCATGGGGTGAGAGATATATTTATTTCATAAATATTTTTTAAAATAAGCAATGGATTTTTTACTTGAGGGAACAGAATTAAACCTCATGATACCATGCTAACATTTTTCTTTGAAGGATACATAAGCTTAGTTCATCAATAATGAAGCTTTTCCCCCTTCCCTTCATAATAATGATAAAAGGTTTGGGGAGTTAGGGGTGGGCTGTCAGCAGGGAGGAATGAGTTCTTAACTCCATGTATATTGTTACCTAGTGGGATTGCTTTGTGAGAATGCCCTCAAAACTTTCCTGAGCTGAGTCAGCTATGCAGGAGGAGGGTCTTACAAGGGATCTCATCTCAGAGGACCCAGTTCTACTCCTGTGTTATAACTTTCAACAATACAGTTATCACAGATTGCTTACAAATGTTAGTGGCGGACATTACAGATATGAAAAGTGTGGTATTTAAGTGTGGGAAGTAATTGCTCATCTGATAAGTGCCAGTTGTGACTCAAATTTAGTTCTACCATGTCCTCTATTATACAACAACATTAGCATTTATGTAGTGCTTTAAAGTGTGTAAATATCTCATTTTATCTTCACAACAATCCTGGGAGGTAAGTGTTACTATTATTCCCATTTTATAGATAAAGCAACTGAGACAGTTTAAATAACTTACCAAGAGACATACAACTAG